TAGAAAACGAGCCACTTATTACCAATGTGTTTGCACCGCATTTTCTATAATTGAAGAGAAATCTTAAATGGGCAATAAAATTTTGAATACATACAAAAATCTTAATAATTGAATCAAATATGGAGCTTGTGACCTTTGGCATGATTGAAATATAACCTAATTTAGATGTTACCTAACCTCCGTAACGAAAAAAATACTGTACCATGTTTACACGTGCATATTTCTTTAAATACAGTAATGGTGTGGGTTAAAATTCTTCTACTACTCTCTGAATACCTCTTCATCAAAATAATATAAAAAGTTTTCCAGTTTTGCAAAGTTCATATCACTGCATTTCTTGTTTTGGAATTGTACCCCTTTTCGTGGAATGGCCGTATAGATAGACAGGTTGAGGTGACAGTGACCTTGTTATATATATATGGTTGTAGTTATCTTCTTATATATATATTAATCTAAATCTTGGAAATTCTAACTTAAAGGCCATACATTTATACCCTACATATATTTAGCCATCAAACATGTCCTACTGCTAAACACATCCAGGCTAATGTCCCGCTGGGTGGGGTTGATATAACATTGTTTTCTGATGTTGATACAACGTTGTTATCTGAGGTTGACACAACTTTCAAATACAACATTTATTCAATGTCTACTCAACGTTATGGTTCAACGTTGTTTCAATGTTAAAACAACATAATTTGCCCGCTGGGCTGTTGTGCATGATTAAAATTCAGTGTTGAATGACTGTGGTATTATAAGCATTATTAATCATTGCATCAAAATTGACAAAATGACCTATTTTGCATCTTTATTTTCTGATTTTTGTCTGTACATTTGACAGCTTTGCTGCCTTGTTTTCTAAGCCTCTTCAGGTTGCCATTGTAAGGTCTATAATTATACATGGTCCAGGGCTGCTATACTAAACAACCTACTTTCTTGTGTAAAAACTAGGCAATGCTTATGACAGTAGATGCTGTTGTTCTATTTCACTGGCCAGTCATTTCAACTAAAAATGGAATTAAACATCAAATATAAGTCTAGAGATGGGTCAAGTAGCAGTTAGTGAGTATGAGAAAATTTCACCTTGCCCCAAGAATTTTTTTCTTTGGGGGGGGGGGGGAAATTGCAGCTAAAAATGTTACACCCTGGCATTTTTAGCTATATTTTCACCTTTTAATTTTTAATTCTTTTAAAACAAATAAATCTTTATTTACTCTAATTTATTTATTTATTTATTTATTTATTTGCAATTATGAAAAACCTTTTAGGAAGATTAAACAACATTAGTCTATAAGTTTTACCATGCAGCATTTTTAACAAAATTTCTATTTCATTCAAAATTTTTAAAAAGCCCATAAGGCCATATTTGACAATCATGCAGCAACAGTTGAGTATCCATTGAAGCTTTGTTACTATGGAAACACATTCTAAGAAAACCAGATATAAAGTTTTCTAGGAAAGTGACTTACCATTTTCCCACTCATATATATCATTGTAGGCCTGGTTTCCATATGCGATTTGACTTCAGGAAAAATATGGATGACTGAACAACCGTTTTATGTTGATTAGATCCAGTAGCAGATTTGGTTGGGGGGGGGGGGTCAGGGGGGTCCTGACCGCCATTCGATTTCTGAAAAAATCACACTAATTAACAGTCCCCTCTT